CTTGTCCAGGCGGGTCTTGAATATCTCAAGAGAAGTAGACCCGACAACCTCCCTGGGCAGCCTGTTCCAGTGCTCCGTCACCCTCAGAGGGAAGAAGTTCTTCCTCATGTTCAGACGGAACTTCCTGTGCCTCAGTTTGTGCCCATTGCCCCTTGTCCTGTCACTGGGCACCACTGTCTTGGGAGAGAGCTCCTCTCTGGCAGCCGGGGCCGGGGAGCTGGGACCTGGGAGAAGGCAGGGCTCGGATCGCCTCTTGTCTTGAGATTCCGCCGGAGAGGCTTCGATAAGCTGTGCTAGGACAGCCCACGCTGCTGGCATCGCTTCTTATTGAACTGAGGTCTTCTCGCAAAGTCCTTGTCGGTGGGGTCAGCTTTGGCTTTTCCTCGTGTCGGGAGCCCCCCGTTGCAAGGTGATTTTGCAGGAAGCTCGGGTGCCCCGGCAGCGCGCTGACGCTGCTGTGTGCAGGAGCAAATCCGGTTTTAGTGGGGACGATGGAGAAACACCAGCAGGTCAGTCACTTGAGAGACGGAGGGATCCCAGTGCCAAGGTGTGGAGATACAAACTGCCAACCAGGTCAGGCTGGGGAAGAATAAATTTCTTCCAAAAGTACATTTGAAAACCGCAGGTTTTATTCAACATTTCAGAGAACATATTTTTAGTTTCTGCGGAAGCGATTGAACCAAACTTCTGCTGAGACCTAGTTTGCTCACAGTCTTTTATAAGCACTTAAATCAAACTTTAAACTCTTAAGCAGTACAGGATTGTGGCTGGAGGAAGCCAGGCTATTAATGCTCGGTATCGGTTTATTAAAATGCTACAAGAAGTTTCAGTGTTGGCAGCCTGCGGTGCGGATGCAGAGGGTGTTTTCACTTGCTTGACCCACTTGCTGAGTTCTGTCTTCATTCAAATCTTCATTTGAGAGGGACCTGGCAGTGCTGGTGGACCATAGGTTGACCACGAGCCAGCAGCGTGCCCTGGGTGCCAAGAAGGCCACTGGCATCCGGGGGTGCATCAAGAGGAGTGTGGGCAGCAGGTCGAGGGAGGTTCTCCT